GCCAGCCATGCTGGCTGGGGGATTCTGGGAGTTGAAATCCACTCATCTTAAAGTGGCCAAGTTTGGACAACACTGATATAAAAGAATGAAAACTACCAGCAGTCAATGGATCTTATTTCCAGGGTAAGAAAAAAGACAGTGCTTACATGCATAAATTAACTTGTGAAATCACTGCCATAAGATGTGTTAATGGTAACTGCTTGAGGTAGCTTTAAAGGTAGATTAATCAGATTAATGTTGAATATCTCTCTCAGCAATAATAACTCAATCTCATGTCTTATACTCAGAATATCAGTTGCTAGGAGACCAGCAATGGGACAAGATTGTCACATTTCTGGCCTAGTTGTGACTTTCATGGCATCTTTATGAACGCAGCAGGAAATGTGTCCATTTGTAGTTTACATCCTTTTCTTTCATTTTTCTTCCTTTTCCCTGCCCTCTACAGACAAAAAGGAGGCAATTTTAGTTTCTATATTGTTACATCAAGATTCTTCTTGTCTGACATGATTCCAAAGTGCAGGACCAAGTGAGTGCTGAAATAAAAAAAAGAAACCCTGATACCATCATAAATAGGATTTATAAACACTGTTTTCTCCCTTGTTCTCTTTTGCCTGCAGGCTGCAATATTATATCCATATGGGTAATGTAGAAAGAGACAGAAAGTTAAAGGAGAGAAACTAGGTGAATTCTGAAGTTATTTGAAGTGGCATTCGGAGAAATAATAATAGGAAGCAACAGGAAAATCTGTTCTGACTTAATGTACATAGCAAACATACCTGGGTGAATATCGGTAGCAGCATTTCAAACACGGTTTTGATTTTTCTTTTTACAGGGAAAAAAAGATGCCACCCATCCTGCGGCCTGTTCAAAATTCATGGTGTCAAAGTCCAAATTCTCCCACACATCCCCATTACTCTATGGGAAGGTATCTCCCACCAGGCAGCAAAGCAAGTCACATGTTGAGCCAAACAAGGTCACAACCGGAGAAATCTTTTCCTGATCTTGGTGAGTTAAAGATCATTTATAGAGAGCTGACTTCTGGATTTGCGTTTCTTTTTAATATATTTAACAGTAGAAATTTAATAAAAGTGACAAAAGTGAAAGATTTCTAGCTGGGCCTTTTTGGCATCAGTCCTTCCAACACTTGTGGGTAACCCTTCTTGGTTGTGGCTGGTACAAAATGTTTGCTGTTGGAGTATTTCTGTTGGGAAAGTAAAAATGAGACCCTGGAATTCATTTGGGGAGAATTCACCATTGGGAGTGAAGAGGGTGTGAAGAAATAGATAGGACAGTGCAAACACCAGGGAGATGCCAATGAATAGTTTCAGTGCAGTAGAAAGAAGCCATTAAACTAGCACACGACATTAACACAAAGCTGTGCATTCCACACAACTAGTCAAGATCCACTTAGGAAAGTGCATTAGAGAAGAAGGCTGAAAACAAACTCTGTTATGTACAGTGACTTTGCAGTCCCTTAAAAGTGGGCTTGTAATGGTTTGATGCCTATTGTTAACAGGGAGAGTATTCTACTGAAAATAAACAAATATTTTTAAGATCAGCTATCCTGATTTCAGTGGGAGGGGTTTTTCCTTTATTTGTTTATTCCCCCAGATCCCCTCTCTCTTGCTTTATTCTTTATCTTTAGTTTCTCTTCAACTGAAATTAATGGAATTTAAAATAAGCCTTTTCTTTTTTTGTGCCTTTGAGTCACTGTTGACTCCTGGTGACTGCCTGGACAAATCCCTGCAATTTTCTTCGCAAGATTTCAGAAGTGGTTTGCCAGGGAGGGATTGACCCAAGGTCACTGAACTGCCTTTGTGCCTAAGGTGGGACTAGAACTCATGGTCTCCTAGTTCTAGCCTGGTGCCTTAACCTCTACACCAAACTGAGTCTCAGAAGAAGCCTATTGTTGCCAGATAATTTATTTTGCTCCATTAATTGTGCTTTATCTGTGGTCAAAGTAACTTTGCATTTATTAAGCAAGAAAGTAACTTGCAACAGCTAAAATGACACATTATTGAAACAATACACATATGATGGATAATGACCAAGACTGGGGAGAATCAGGATCAAACAAGGAAACTCACTGGATGATATTGGGCTCTGTCTCAGCCCAACCTATATTACAGGGTTACAGTGGGGAAGAAACACAGAGAAGGCTCTGTGAAAGCTGCTTGGACCTCCCCAAGGCAAAATAGGACAGAAAACTAACAAAATCAGCAACAGACAGCAGGCTGGATTATCTATCTATCTATCTATCTATCTATCTATCTATCTATCTATCTATCTATCTATCTATCTATCTATCATCTACCTACCTATCCTTTCTGTCTAACTAAGTAACTAACTAACTAACTAACTAACTAACTATCATCTCAAGCAATCAACAAGATCAGCCTTCTTTAGCAGCAAAGTCCAGGGAGGACTCCATCATCCAGAGAAAGCCTTTCTTCCCTTCCCCACCCATCTTGTCTCTTTCAGATGTGAACGTCTAAAAATGTGGCTCCCTTGCCATGAGTCACAACATAGTGCTGAACCATAGAAATGCAAAAATATTGCTGTTGTTTCAGGTTGCTTAAAAAAAAATGCCAGTAACTTCCTGTGCACCTTTTCAAGAATGCAGATTGAAAAACAAAAACTCTGTGATTTCTCACAAGTGCATAAATCTGTAAGCGTCCTTTGAAAAACAGTCTCTGAGGAGAGGGGACATGGCATTTCTGCCTACAAATCACTTCTCCCATTGCCTGCAGTCATAGGAGAAGATGGAGGAAACAGATTTTATCATTGTAAATCAATTTCCATTGGTAAGAGTTATTAAGACGCTGAGATGGGAATATATGGAGACTTGAATATAGGAGCTATGATCAAAGAAAAGGAATAAATAATTGAAGCCGGGGGGGAAAGGGAATATTGAGGAAAAAGGAACACCAGGAGAATGAGTTGTAGTGTGTTGTGTGCAGCACAGATGAAACAGACATCACAGTATTATGTGAATATTAAAACTGTTTTAATAGTATTTAAATTCACAGTATGTGAGTATTAAAACTGACTATAAGAATGTAAGCTGGATAAGTCCAGCTAAACCTTTTAGCTATGCCTTAGGCTATCTCATCTGTGCTCACAATGCAAATGATAACGTTGACCTCCTTATGGTTTACCAAGATAATGTGTGAAATACCAGCAATGCTATTTTGTATTTAAAAGTGTGCTTTCTTCTCATTTATTGAAATCAAACAGATTTATAGGGGCCTCACTTTATTCTGCCTATTATGGAGTAATGATTATGCCATTATACATTCCTATTCTCTCTACCCAAAGTAATAGATGTTGTTATTGTTTTCCTAGCGAATTTACATATAGGCCCATATCAAAATTTATTTTCCTTTTGGGGAATTTTTACAGGAATAAATAAACCAATACCTCCCTCATTCCATTTTATTACACAAAGAATTTATCTTTGCCTGAAATGTATTATCACGACTAAGGTCACCTGATAGACGAATGGTAACTGAAAAAATGCGGCTGTTAAGATCTTTTATTTTCTATGCATAACTAATGTAGCTATCAGCAGGTTTATAGCTACACTATGCAACTGGAGTCTCCTGGGGAAAGATTTATACCTCATTTAGAAGAATGACCCTGTTTAGGAGGCTTTTAGGTGGCGTGACTCTGAACAGATCTTTGGAGCGTGCCCTAGGGAAGCCGGGAGAAAAATGTAACAGTCAAAAAGATCTCTGGGATAATGTCCATGACCAATAATATGGACATTTATTTATCCTGATTGCCCAGAGCAGAAAGGATGGATGTATTTTTGTGTAAATACTCATACATATCCCAAAAAGAAAAAAACAAAACACCTACCCCATGATTTAAGTACAACATTTTCTTCAGATGATTAGACCATATCTCTAGCCAGCTGACCTAAGTCAATTTTCAATTAAGTTGCATGGATGCAAAGACACTCCTGAAAAAGAGAACACAAAGGGGAATTACTGAGATTTCCTTTTCCTATTGTCACTATTGCCAGTATTAATGTGATCCAGGCAATTGGGTCCTGAGAGATAATTTTAGCAAATATAAATTAGGGATTTCAATCAAACTTACTACCAATAGTTCTTTCCGTAATTCTAAAGCAATTTTCCAAATCTATCGCTAAAATAATTTACATTTCGTAAAGCATTTTACGCTATCAGGGAAGGTACAATTTTTTTTAGAAAAATAAAAATCACTTCTTTTTTTTTTAATCTGTGCTCAGTCGTTACCGACTCTGCAGTGACTGCTTGGACGGGTCCTTGCAG